GGAACTGGGTAAAGGAGGTGCTTGACAACAGCATAAAAGCAGCATCAGGGATCTTATGATTCACAACTTCGGAGGACGAGAGAGAGAAACAGTCTGTCGACCATCCCAACAGAAGTGACCGAACAGAGATGGCAGGTAGAGTGAAACTTTCGTTAGACCCACTTTTAGGTTGGTGTCCTCACTAAACTAACATGTGGAAAAATGTTATAGAAACTGGATTTTAAAAAGAAAAAGTGACAATTTGTTAAGTAATAAATAAATAGTAGGTTAATAGCGCTAGCATTTACACTGATGAGACCAACAGGTTTTGTATTTAAGTCTTTTCCCCTCTTGAATAGTTACCCCAGTTTAAATAGCGTTTCCTGTTCTGTTGCCCACAGTGGTTGGTTCAGGTTTGGTTATGGTTAGGTGTTGTAGAGTTAACTGGTTAAAATGGCTGATTTCAGGGCAACTTTTAAAAAAAAATTAAAGGAGATTGAAGGTTTATTGTTGCGTTTGCAACATTGTACCTTCCTGGATGAGTTGGCAGGGATGGGAAGACAAGAGAACATGGGAAGTAATAAAGGTTTTTGAGGTATCTGTACTCGATTATTTATTTTTCTGACAACTTTTTACTTTTACCTCCTACATTCTTACACAAATATCTGTACTTTCTCCTCCTTACATTGTCAAAACAGGTTTGTTACTGTAGTTTTAACGCATTTGAGGTGAGCTACGAATTGTTTTCATTTTGTTTGTTTTTTATTATTGCACGCCTTTACATCATAAAGACCGGTGCATATCACACACGACAGACGAGATAAAGAGACTCCCTATTTGAAATTTCAGTTTGCTTTGCACAGAAACAGCCGATAGAAAGGTCCTTCAGACAAACACTACTTTTTTCTTTTATACTTTGAGTACTTCTACTCTACCAGTCTTTTTTTACATACATACAAGTATCTGTACTTCTACTTGTGTGAATGTGTGTACTTCTGAAAACTCTACAGGTATAATGTTGAATCTCTTTCAGCTGATAATCAAATAGCTGCAGTTAATGGAGATATAAACTCTGATTTTACGTTTTAATAACTTTTTATTGTTGAGAGAGACACATTTAATACTAAGATTCAGACAAACAGGTATTTATTGATCTGTGCTGTAGACTCAAAGACTGCAAAAAGTGAATTAAAGCTCACAACTACATCCTCTCCAATGCCTCCTGTTGTTTGATTATCAGATGATAGATATAACATAATATAAAGTTATATAAGATAAATAGAATAAAAATAGTTCAATAAACTAACATGAGGACAATGTTTTGTTTTATATAGGTAGAAAGATCATGTTCACTGCAGTGGCAGATGATGGTGGATACTTTGGACCCTTTGAAGCAGACAGAACAGTGGTTTACAGAAAAGTGATTACCAACATTGGTAA